TGGTGAAATCCCGTCTCTACTAAAACTACAAAAATTAGGTGGGCGTGATAGCACGCATCTGCAGTCTCAGCTACTTGGGAGGCTGAGGCAGGAGAATTGCTTGAACCTGGGAGATGGAGGTTTCAGTGAGCAGAGATTGCGCCACTGCACTCCAGCTTGGCGACAGAGCAAGACTCCATCTTGGAAAAAAAAAAAAAATTGTGTTTTAGGAGCTCTTCTGTCTTTGACACTCCCGTTATAGATATTTGCTTAGGGTTTGTAGTTCATCTTTTAACCTTTTGCATTATATCTTCTGTACAAAAGATTAAAATGTTCATAAAATCACATCTGTCAATCTTTTCCAGTATGGATTTTACTTACTCAGTTTTTACTTTTAGTTTTATTTAGAGCAGCCTGCTCTGCTGCCCAGGCTGGAGTGCAGTGCTGTGATCATAGCTCACTGCAGCCCTACTCTGGGTTCAGATGATCCTCTCGTCTCAGCCACCTGGGTGGCTGGGACCATAGGCACACACCACCACACCCAGCTAATTATTTTTTTTAATTTATCTTTTGCAGAGATGAGGTTTCAATATTTTGCTCACACTGGTCTTGAACTCCTGGGCTCAAGTGCTGCTTCTTCCTCAGCCTCTCAAAGTGCTGAGATTTCAAGAATGAGCCACCACACCCAGCTCCATTATGGATTTTGAACTTGGGGCTATGTGAAGAATGTATGTGTTTGTGTTTTGTTTTGTTTTGTTTTGTTTTGAAAGTATCATTCCGTCGCCCAGGCTGCAGTAAAATGGCACTATCTCAGCTCACTGCAACCTCCGCCTCCCAAGTTCAAGCAATTTTCCTGCCTCAGCCTCCCGAGTCACTGGGATTACAGGCACCCGCCATCATGCCCGGCTACTTTTTGTATTTTTAGTAGAGATGTGGTGTCGCCATGTTGGCCAGGTTGGTCTCAAACTTCTGACCTCAGTGATTTGCCAGTCTCAGCTTCCCAAAGTTCTGAGATTACAGGTGTGAGCCACTGAGCCCAGCCAAATAATGTGTTTTCTATAAAAAGATTGCAAAACATTCTTCTACATTTTTCTTCTAACACTTCTTTAGTTCTTTAAATTACTTTTAATACATCTTCAACCTTTCTTAAGTTAATTTTGGAGATCAAATAAGTAAATCTTCAGTCTTTCTGGAGCTTATTTAGGTTTTCCGATTTCCTTTCATTTCCTCCAAGTGAATAGCTAATTTTGCCAACTATATTTCCCAACTAAACCAATTTTTATCTAGACCACTTTGATAATTCTTTATCAATTTTATCTATTTGTTTATTTTAAATTTTATTTTTACTTGACAAATAATAATTGCACACCTTTATAAGGTACCTGGTGATATTTTGATATATAATGTACAGTGACCAGATAAGGGTAATTAGCATATCCATCATCTCAAATGTTTATCATTTCTTTGTATTGGGAACATTCAGTATTCTCCTTCTAGCTTTTTGAAACCTCATGTTACTGTTAACTATAATCATTCTGCAGTGGTATGGAACACTGGAATTTATTCCATCTAGCTGTAAGCTTGTTCAATGAGGCCCACCTTTTCCTATAAAATTCTGACATAAATACATTTTTAAAATTCTACTGCTATCTTCATCTTTTACCAATTGCCTGCTTAATTGATACCTTGGTCAACAACATAAAAGAGTGTGATATGCCTAAGACATATATCATTGTCTTATCAGAAATAATTAGCTTGACTCTCTCAGAGATTAAGTGTAGAAAAATTTCCAAGTAGAGTCAGGCTGCATGTAGTACAAACAGTGTAAAAGGTTTTCATGGAAAATATAATCTGCTTAATACAAACTCTCTTTACCCAAAGCTTTGCAGGTGTGAATCTGTTCTATTATGACAAGCTGTCCCAACATCACAAATGTATAATAAACATCTGCTTATCCCAAAACAATTAAGAAACTCACCAGGTTTTAAAGTTTTGTCTTATGAGAAAGAAGCAAAGAATAAGGAAATTTTCTTGAAAACTTTAGTCTTCAGATTTGTGAACCACTGGAGATTAAAAACTGACATTTGCACTGAGACCAAGAAGACACCATGAGGCTTTGATAAAACTTGTCAGTAAAATTTAACTATAGTTTGCAGTTTTAAGACTGTATACCTCATTGCTGTTAAACTCTTTGCCTTTTATTTATTTAACTGACTACACATAGGAAATTTATTATAATTCTATGAAATGCTAGGGCATTTTCCACTTCTATTATTAATTCCTATGGATTTTCATTCTAAACATGTGAGAATCCAGTTTCCATCAGCCACTGACTAAGAGACTCTATGAGATTATCTGTGGCTTACTAGGGAGGGGATGTAGTAAGAAGGCTTCCCCTTCTTAGTGGTTTTGTGTACTACGGTATGAATTTACCAAGGCTTGAACCCAGCTGTGAATAGAAGAGGGTATGTTTCACAATACTATAGAACTTTAGTACTATTCCTCCAAGATTCTAAACTGTTTTCACATCTATTAAAACCATGTATCTCTGGGCACCGTGGCTCATGCCTACAATCCCAGCACTTTAGGAGGCCAAGGTGGGCGGATCATTTGAGGTCAGTAGTTTCAGACCAGCCTGGCCAACATGGTGAAACTCCGTTTCTTCTAAAAATGCAAAAATTAGCTGGGCATGGTGGCAGGTACCTGTAATCCCTGCTACTCAGGAGACTAAGACAGGAGAATTGCTAGAACCTAGGAGGTGGAGGTTGAGGTGAGCAGGGATTATACTACTGCACTACAGCCTGAGTGACAAAGTGAGACACTGTCTCAAAAATAAATAAATTAAATAAATAAATAAATAAATAAAACCATGTGTCTATCCAGTCAAGAACTCTGAAGGCCTTGAAATCTTGTGAGCACTACTCTGCTAAGATAAACACAATCTAAGAAAATCCCAAGACATACGTATTTGGGAACAGCATTCCCCCTTCTCTATAGCTATTCCCCCTGCCAAAGAACATTAAAAAGAGAACCAGACAAAATATTTTGAAAGTTGCAAATATAAACATTTAGATTGGGTAAGTTACATAATAAACAGATTCATAAGGATGGCCTTAAGCAAAATGGCAAATTCAGTGACACTTGTTCTGGGGATGCCACTCCCCCACTTTCTGAGTCACGCACCCTTGATACACACACCCCTACCACTGCTAATACCCTCAGATACCCAGTACGTCCTGCTTGCTCCAGTTTTTACTTACTCTCAGCCAAAGCACTAAAATCACTTATTTATATCCTAATTTGAATGAATATGTTCATTTACTTTTTCTAGGAAGGTGTTTGTATTCCTTTAGTTGTGTAATGAGAGACATCAGAAGGCACATTGTTGTGAAAGTATGGTGCTTTCCTTGCCCTCAGCCCACCAACAGACAGACCCTGTCATAGGGACTCCTGTCCCTGTTTTTTAAGAAATTTACTATCCTTTTGGAAAAGCAAAATATATGAGGCATTCAACAATAATTCATGTCAGCTTGGGATTGTACACCAAAGGTGAGTTTGCAAGTTGAGTTTGACAGAATCCACAGGCATACACTCTCTGATCTTGATGCTATTGGCACCATTTTACAAATGAAATAGCCAAGACAAGACAACGAAATAATTTCTTCAATGTTTTACTACTTATCAATGGTTAAATGAAGTATGATGGGGCCATTATTAGAAAATTGTTGGCCGGGTGCGGTGGCTCAAGCCTGTAATCCCAGCACTTTGGGAGGCCGAGGCGGGTGGATCACGAGGTCGAGAGATTGAGACCAACCTGGTCAACATGGTGAAACCCCGTCTCTACTAAAAATACAAAAAATTAGCTGGGCATGGTGGCGCGTGCCTGTAATCCCAGCTACTCAGGAGGCTAAGGCAGGAGAATTGCCTCAACCCAGGAGGCGGAGGTTGCAGTGAGCCGAGATCGCGCCATTGCACTTCAGCCTGGGTAACAAGAACGAAACTCCGTCTCAAAAAAAAAAAAAAGAAAGAAAGAAAAAGAAAAAGAAAATTGTTTTCAATTTTGGTTATTGTTGGGTAATGAGTGGTGTTTTTTTAATGAAAAAAGAACATAATAAAAGATTTGTGTTAATATTCCAACATATTAAAGAATGTACTTTCATTTATTTATTTTTATTCTCTCTCTGTTTTTAATCTCCAGCCCTTCAATGCTAATATCAGGCTGAGCTTAATGGCTATCACCATGAAAAAGCAGAATTCATCACTTCTCCATGCCTCTCCCACCTTGACCTTTCTATACCTCCTTCAGTATCTTTCCACCACGTAGTCTCTGGCATGGTACATTACATAGGTTATGAGGTTTATGTAAAAGGATTTTTCAAGAAAAAGAAGAAAAGTGGAAAATCATAAATTCCCAAGGCCTGCACTAAGAAAATATAGTGTGTCATTTTATATTTATTTGGGGAAACAGCAGAAGAAATGGTTAAGAGGGTCAATTCCAGGGTTTTTTCGAGTCCTGGGAAAGAGTTAAATTGAGAATATGTGGATTCAGGCAAAGCTTAAACTAATTCACCCAAACGTAAATATAGGCTTAATTCTCTTAAGTATAGTTTTATTTTAAGAGATTGCTATGGTTAACATATTAAGGATTGGTGAAAACCATAAGATTAATATTTTAACAAGTATCTTTGGTGAAGCCCTTTTTATCCTAGTCAGTCCACCTCCCTGGCACATCAGAAGAATGGGGGTCCTGCATTATCACAGAGGGAAGAGTATGCTTTGATTCAGAAAACCTGGAGCTTGAGCCTCAGCCAATCACCTCATTATAGTTAGTAAAAGGGTTAAATCCATTGTTTCTGCTCATTGCTTTTTCAACTCTGTTCCCTTATTTAACCATCTTCGGGAAATGAGATATTAAAATCAGAAGTTTTTTCAAGGAGAGAAAAAAGAATCTCAGATTAACAGGTCGTATTGGTTATAGTAATACACATTCTTAGCAATCAAACTATGGTTATTGGGCTTACCTGGTGATCCTTCTCTTCACACCACAACTCCAGGAGCCCTTCCTTCAGTACTCGTGGCTCAATCACTTCTTATGATGTTTGGAAAGAAAATATCAGTATCTGAGCCAAGCAGCTCACTGGCATGAACACGGGCTCACTGATCCATCAACAGTTCCTGGCACACATTACTACCTGTACAGGTCGACAAGCCCGGGACACACCCCTTCAAGAAGGAAACAAAATACTTTCTGGTAGCTCCCCCCTCCCCCTTAAAGTCACTATCAGGTCTGGTAAGAGGAAGGAGCACAGAGCTCAAGACTTAATGATTCTCCCAGCAGATGTAGATGAGTGTCTGAAATTGCAGAAGGGAAATGGGACAGAAAAGCTCTAGGGGAACATGGAACACTTTTGCCCTCCACTGGTTTACTGCAAAATGTTACTCCATCAAATCTTCCCGTCCAGCTTCTTAACATACTGGGTCATACCCTATAAAGCTGAAGGAATGTAGCCCTTCATGTGTAATTCCAATGAGGAGAGATAGGTAATTCCTGTGGGCTAGAATTAGGGGTAGATATTCTTTTTCCTTTTCCAACTTTTTAATTTAAGGCTGAAGAATCAACTAGCTACTTTCCCAGATAAAACAATGTCAGACTTCTTGGTGGGGTAGAACCGCAGGGGCTGTGGCAAAAGACAGCAACAGGTGGATGCCGGAGTGAATGCTTTTAGTATGTTCTTTGTCCTTAGAAAACCTCGAGTGAAACCTGATTAACTTCTTCAGTAAAGATTTGTTTTCTTTCCAAAGAGTCATCCAGTTTAGAAACTATGAAAGGTCAAAATTATTATCCACAGTGGGTCATAAATTACTTTTGGTCAAAGTAATGAGATACTAACAACCATGTCTAAATTAGCAATTCGTCATTCTGTTATGGAATAATGAAGGGGATAATAATATGTTAATTCTCAAAAATCCCACCAAAAAGAAAGCAAAGGATATCTCTGAATTCAATCAATTTATTAATTTTCTTTTGTTTCCTTGGAGCACTCCGCATTTTACAAATGATTTGAGCTGGCTTACAATGCAAATGCACAAAACAATATAGTATGAGAAGAAAAATGTAAAAATCATTATAAAAAGGGAAACTATAAAACTAAAGACTCAGTTAAGAAAAGTAATGCACATAATACTCCTTGAGATTATTGTTTCATAAATTTGAAACTTATCTCTAGGGACAGAACTTCCTAACAGTTAAATAAAAGGGGAAGCTAGTCAAGTACATTGTTCTCACAACAAGAAAAGAGGAAGCATCTATGTTCATGAAAGAGTAGGTAAATTCTAATAGAAACATATTTTTTAGAGTGAACAATATTCCCCTTCAACATTTGAGCTTCTAATTGCATGTTGAAGACCTTTAGTGCCATGCAGACCGAATCCCAGTATGACCCTCTTGTCTTCCATACCAGCTGGACCACTGATCCATATTATACTCATCGTGATTGGATCTGGGTCTAGCCCATTAAAAAAGTCATCAGGAGAATGGAGCTTACCTGACAAATCTCAACTGTCAGATAAGCTCAAGCTTCAGCAATTGTTCCTTTGTCCCCCATCAACCTGGTGGAAGAAAACTAATCTCATAATTTAGTCAAGTTAATTCCACTCTCCTTTTGCTTGTTTTCTGCAGTTTTGCCTGTTTCACAGTCCACCAATTATAACTGTAGACCAAATTTCCATTCCAAAAGGGCAAGGACTTCCAGAAATACATACTCTTACTCAGCAGGTTCAATGTCTAAAGTTTTAAAATAAGAGATGCCATCTTTTCAGTTCAGTACCACCCCTTTCCTATTGTCTATATTAAATTGCAAGTGAAGTAATTCACTGGCATCTTAGTAGAAATGTGTTTATAAAATGGAATTAATAATCTGTTAATCACTTGGGCAAGAATGTGGCCCTGGAATTGGGTGGAAGCAGCTAAAGGTCAGACAAAATGACTAACTAGTGTGGAGTTTCAGTTGGTGAGGGCTTGAAGCTGAGATGGAAGTTTTGCTCCCCACTTTCGGTTCATTGTGTCATTGAAGCCCAATACCTTCCTAGGGGCCAAGATATGGCCCTGAGAACCAAAGGAAACCCTACAGTGTCTCATTAGACCAAAAACAATTTCGCAGACACTAATAGGTAAGGCAACCAGTAGACCTCAATGATTCCATGAGTGTATTGATTTTGGAGAAAATCCGAATCCAAACAAATGAATGCATTTAATGATCTTTTAATTCTGTGTTTAATAGAAGGAAGTCATAGTATGTCCAATAAGTTTCATAAATAAGGTGTGTTTTTGAAACTGATGACTCACTAGTAAGCAATTTACTCACCCCTTCTAATTTCCTCCTAAGAATCTGTTAGTGCCTGCAATGCTAAATTCCTCAACACTTCCTGGTAAGTTTGAGGAGCTCTCTGGTCCTTGCAAAGGACACAATGCAAAAGGAAGCAGCATGAGTTTAAGCACTGTGGCCCCATTCACACATCTCGTTACCTTAAGAGCTCAGGTTAAAGCTAACCTGAGTGCAGAGCTGTGGAGCTTTGTTTCCCCTCTAGTTTGATTGTAATGTTTCACAGGCATGAACAAGGTGTTCACTTGAGCATAGGAAGACAGGTAAGCAGATGTATTTTGGTTCATGTGATCAACTTTACATTCCACAAATGCCGAAAGAAAACAAGAAGAAAGTCCTGGAGCTGAGGGAGAGCTTCCAGCCTTCTAACTTCATCTGTTTGTGTTGGTTTAGTGAGGAGTTCAATGGCTTGGTTTCCCAGCAAAAGAGCAGGGTCACAAAATGAAGAGCAACAAGCCTGAGTCCTGGGAGAAAGAAAAGTGGCAAACAGAATCATGCTATTGGAACTAGTTATCTAAATTCAGATGTCAATAAACTTTCCCTGAGTGACTACTGGGTGTGAGACAATATCTAAATAAGACAGATCAGCAGGTGGACCAGGAAAGGACAGGAATTCAATTAGAGGAGAAGGACCCTGATGGCCATGTCCATCTGTGAAAAGTACTGGGCATTCTTTGAGCCTGGTCATAGAGAAGTTTTACCCCAGAGGCTGCAAAAACAAACAGCAGACTTGAGTGATGTGGTTATGCAAGGGTGTAAAAGGTCCTGGACTGTTTCAGGCTTTACTTCATAGTTGCAAAATGTTTGAAAGTAATTATGTATATGTATAGGTATATGTTGCAAGTATAATTATTTAACTGAAAGGAGGAGTAAAAACGAGAAGAGTTGAGTATAAACCGTAAATATCAGCAAGAAAGTTTTTCTGACTACCATTATAAAAGTCTTATAAAAGCTGATACAGGCTCTTCACATTCAGAAATAGGGCCTAAAGTAAAGAGAGGTGGGGTTTGAAATTATGAAGCTATTTAAGGACAAGCGTTGGACAATGTGACTTATGAGAAATTGCTTTTATTGGATGGGTAGGGTGTCATTGTATTATAATTGAGACCTGGACAGCTAATTAGAGGAAGAAAAGAACTATCAAGCACTTAGTATCAACCAACATTTTGTTTTCATTGAGACAGAGTCTCACTCTGTTGCCCAGGCTGGAGTGCCTATTTGTATTTTCCATTCTATTTCTATTTTCCATCTGTCTTTAGGAAGCAGTAGAGAATAGAGTAACAGATGGCATGATCTCAGCTCACTGCAGCCTCCACTTCCCAGGTTCAAGTGATTCTCCAGCTTCAGCCTTCCAAGTAGCTGGAGCCACAGGTGTGAGCCACCAATGCTGAGCTAATTTTTGTATTTTTTGAGAGACAGGGTTTCACCGTGTTGCCCAGGCTGGTCTCAAATTCCTAAGCTCAATGCAATCTGCCTGCCTCAGCTTCCCAAAGTGCTAGGATTACAGGTGTAAGCCACATGCCTGGTTCAGCCAACATCTTATTTTTTAATTGCTTTTTAAATTTGTATGGGCACATAGTGGGTGTATATTTTTATGGGGTACATGAGATATTTTGATATAGGCAGACAGTGTGTAATCATCACCTCAAACCTTTGAGGTTATGCAATATCATTTCTTTATGTTACAAACATTCCAATTATACACTTTAAGGTATTTTAAAATGTTTGATAAATTGCTGTTGACTATGGTCACCCTGTTGTGCTATCCAATATTAGATCATATTTCTTCTAACGATAGTTTTGTACCCATTAACCATCCCCACTCCCCCGCTGCCCACTATCCTTCCCAGCCTTTGGAAATCATTACTCTTTTCTCTATCTCCGTCAGTTTAATTGTTTTAATTTTTAGCTCCCACAAACAGTGAGAGCATGTGAAGTTTGTCTTTCTATATCTGGCACCTTTCACTAAATGTCCTCCAGATCCATTCTCGTTGCAAATGACAGGGTGTCATTCTTTTTTTGTGTGGTGGATCAGCCAACCTTTACTGAGTATTTCCTATGTGCCAAGTACTGCTGTGATCAGTTTTCATGTGTTTTTATACTCCCTGCAACCCTATTTTATACATAAGGGAGTCAAGGCATAGCTGTTAAGTGAATGGTGAGCCAGAAAATCCACACAACCTGACTTCAAAGTCTGTTCTGTTACCCGATTCTCTACTGCTTCCTAAAGGCAGATGGAAAATACAAATAGACGTGTCCTACCCTTGCTAAATAACCAAAGAAAAAGCGAAGGCAACCACAGGTACTGATGAGACAGAACATTCTTATCATCTGAATCTTCCATAATAAATTAGAGAGCCACCAGAGTCCTGCAGAGTCCACACTTCATTTTATTCAAGAAGTAAGCTTCAAGTCACTAAATTCAAGGTCCTAGGTAAATTTGTCAGAGTCAGTCAAGACACTATCTGGCCTTTAATCAGTTCAGAATGTACAGTATTTGGATGCCAGAGATAGCACCGAGAAGAGAAAGCTATAACCTATAAAATAAATGATAAGCTTTTTCCCCCTCTCTCTGTGTTTAAAATGAGAATTATACAGTACCAAGAAGTTTACCTCTCCAAGCTCAAAAGATCCTCCTGAGGCCACAGGAAATGTACAGCTGCAGGCACAAGAACACATGCCCTGCCATCACAGGATGCACAGGAATTCTACAGGGTCAGGGAAGCCTCAATGGAAAATCTGCTACATATTACAAGAATCCTGCTTTTTACCACCCAGGTTTTAGAGTTC